CACTCACCTCAGCCTCCCAAAGGCGCAGGATTACAGGCTGAGCCACTGAGCCTGGCTGTGAGATTCCATCTTTATAAAAAAGCTGTAGTCCCAGCTATTCGGGAGGTGGAGGCAGAAGGATCGCCTGAGCCCAGAGGTCGAGGCTGTGGTGAGCCATGATCCTGCCACTGTACTCCAGCCTGGGCAATAGTAAGACCCAGACTCAAAATAATAATTCCTGGCCGGGTGCAGTGGCTCACGCCTATAATCCCAGCACTTTAGGAGGCAAGGTGAGAGGATTGCCTGAGCCCAGGGGTTTGAGACCAGCCTGGGCAACTTGACGAGACCTCGTCTCTACAATAAATCAAAAAAATTAGCTGGGTGTGGTGGCATGTGCCTGTGGCTCCAGCTACCTGGAAGGCTGAGGTGGAAGGATTGCCTGAGCCTAGTGGGTCAGCGCTGCGGTGGCCGTAAGCATGCCACTGCACTCCAGGCCGGGCGACAGAGTGAGACTGTGACTCAAAATAATAATAATAATAATAATTCCTCATTGCACACTCACCCGAGAACTGGGTCTTGGCCTAGGCTCTTTGTTGGGCTACAGTTTCTTTATCTCCTGGGCATTCATGTCCCTTGTGCCTCACTTTCTCACTGGGCTTGCAATTTCCCTCATCTTCCTTATCTCTTCCTTTTTTTATTTTTTCCACTCTTGATGTAAGCGTAAGTTAAAAAAGAAAATTATAAATTTTTGTCCAGGCTGGAACTCCTGGCCTCAAGCAATCCTCCAGCCTCAGCCTCCCAGAGTGCTGGAGTTGGCAGGTGTGAGCCACTGTGCCTGGCCCATATCTCTCTCTCTTTTCTCTTTTTTCTTTTCTTTTCTTTTTTTTTTTTTGAGTTGGAGTCTCACTCTGTCGCCCAGACTGGAGTACAGTGGCCGCTCCCGGCCACCCCAGCGTCAACCTGCTGGGCTCCGGCGATCCTTCCGTCTCAGCCTTCCGAGTAGCCAGAACTACAGGCGTGCGCTACCACACCCGGCTAATTTTTTGATTTATTGTAGAGATGAGGTCTCACCAAATTGCCCAGGATGGTCTTGAACCCTGGGCTTAGGCAATCTTCTCGCCTGGGCCTCCTAAAGTGCTGCGATTACTGGCTTGAGCCACTATGCCCGGCATCTCTCCTTTTTTTTTTTTTTTTTTTTTTTAAAGCAAGATTTATTGAGAAGACAGGAAAGCTCCCACAGTGGGAGGGTACCCGAAGAGGTTGCCCTGTCTCTCCTTTTTTAATGTGGGCCGCAACTAGGCTTCTGTCCCTGCAGGTTGACTCCCTCCTCACCCCTTCTTTCCACAGTCCAGGAACCTTGAGCTGGCCCCTCCCGGCAGACGCTTCATGACAGGAAGGACTGAAATGTCTCACGGACGCCTGGTCTTTCCCTGATGTACTTGTGCCCGCCGTGTGGGGGCAGAGGTTGACGCCCCTGGGCTTTGCCTCATGTGGGAGTGTGTGTTCCCCGGAACCCACCTGTGCCCACTGCCCCGCCCTTCCCCGACCCCCAGACTCTCTCTGAACCCCCCTTCTCCAGAGTTTGGGGAAGGTCCTGCTCCAGGCTTCCTCGTCACGGGGAAGCCAGGGGGCCCAGAATGGGTGAGTCTCTGATTTCCGCAACGTTTGCAACAGTTCACGATTCAATAAACATTGGCCGAGTGTCACTGAGTGTGCCTGTGTCAAGTGTATCCTGCGTCACCTTGTGGCCTCTCCCTCTAGGCCTCAGTCCCAGAAATCGGTGACCACATGCTGCATGCTTAGAGTGCCAGCCCTTGGCTAACAGCAAGGCTGGTGCCATGTGGGCAAGGAAGCAGGTGTTGGGGTAAAACTAATTTGAACAGGCCCAGCTTCCAGATCCTAAGAAATCCCCCAGGCCTTTGACACTTGTGTGTGTCTACTGGGTGGCCATAACAAAATGCTCTAGGTGAGCAGGGTGCAGTGGCTCACACCTGTAATCCCAGCGCTTTGGGAGGTAGAGGCAAGAGGATTGCCTGAACCCATGGGTTTGAAACCAGCCCGGGCAACTTGGTGAGACCTTGTCTCTACAATAAATCAAAAAATTAGCTGAGCATGGTGGTGCGTGTCTGTGGTTCCAGCTACTTGGAAGGCTGAGGCGGAAGGATCGCCTGAGTCCAGCAGGTCGA